GTCTCTCTCTCTCTGTCTATCTGTCTCTCTCTCTCTGTCTATCTGTCTCTCTCTCTCTGTCTATCTGTCTCTCGCTCTCCCTCTCCCCTCTCTCGTGCTCACTCTCATCCTCGCTCTCTCTCTCGTGCGTGCATGCATGCAGCAGTAGCAGCAGTACGTATCAGGCGGGCTTTCTACTTGTGCAGCCTACTGTGTGAGCCACTACATATGTTTAGCAGCGAAAAAGCCTGTTAGCATAATAGCAGCATATAATAGCTGCGATAGGCGGCGGCTGCTGGCCACACATAAAGACTAAGCAGCATAAAGACTGACTGTGTTACCCGCAGGGGGAGAAAGAAAGAGAGAGAGAGAGAGAGAGAGAGAGAGAGAGAGAGAGAGAGAGAGAGAGAGATGCAGCAAGTGCTGTTGAGGTGGATCCATTACTTAGTAACGTAAATGCCCTGTCCGCATGAACGAGGGAATCGGACATGGACATGGTACATCGGTTCCGGCACACACTCTCCACGCGTGCCCGCCAAAACAACGAAACTCGCCGCACTTCGTCCCTAAGCATTGTCTTTAGAAGCAGAAGGCAGAAAGGTTCGATATGATATGACTACTAGGCACTTTAAATTAAATTAAATTTTTTTTTTTTAAGGGTTAGGGTTAGGGTTTTTTTTTTAAGTGCCTAGTAGTCATATCCTAAGTGCCTAGTAGTCATATCATATCGCACCTATCTGCCGGGTGCGTTTAGAACGTCCTATCACGACAACGATTGGCTACAGCTACCTATCAATCACGTCTGCCGCGACGATTCAAAATGGAGACGCGTGGCAGAAAAGGCGATGGAACCCTCAGCTATTAAACTGTGCACCGGTGCCAACCCCGCAGTCACCGTGCGAGTAAACGTAACCAGCACCCCATAACAGCCTGCCTACGAGTAAGTGGTCGTAAGGCAACAAACCGTTACCACCTACAATTACATGAAATCTGCCAGGAGCCGAGCAGGAATTCGACTAAAGCCCTGGCCAACTCAACCGTGTCATGGCAGTGGCAATGTTGAATATTAAAAGCACATTCACGCGCACGCTCGTACACACCCCGCGCGCCCACATATACATGCATATACAGGGGCCTATATATATATATATATATATCAAGAGTACATAATAGAGATGTATGTCTCTCTATATGTATAACCCATCTCTATTATATACTCTTGATATATATATATATATAGGCCAGATCTCAGACAACACCGGTGTTCCTTCTCACGCGGCAGAGACAACTCGAATGTAATTAGGAACAGTGAGTCATCAAGACAGAATCTGGTGCAATACGGCGCGTCTCAGTGGGGCAGACAGAGAGAGAGAGAGAGAGAGAGAGAGAGAGAGAGAGAGAGAAAGAGAGAGAGAGAGAGAGAGAGAGAGA